GTGCATAGTTTTAATTGCTATTTTCAAAAGCCATGGGAAAGACTCAGGAGGTGAAATTATTAGGAGTCACTGATATATGGTCCCTAGAGGATGATGAAAAAAATGTCAGGCCTGGTTGAAGCTGTTTTGAGACACTGTGACTGTTCCCTGTGCCCTGCGTGGTGGTGCTATACCTGCTCTTGCCCCCATGCTACATCCATGGCTGCATATTGACAGCCCAGCTCAGTCTGACTAGTCAAGGGTCTTGCTGCTGACAGCAGTTGGCACAGATGCTTCAGGGCAAGAATGATCCCACAAGAGACATTTATAAAATAGCCACATCATAGAGGAAATAGCTTCTTAATCCCCCTGAACGCATGTTATCCCCTTAAACATAGCTTTATGTCCTTCCTAAATACAGATTAGCTTTTCATGTTCATTCCCTTCCAGTCTTATCTGGTATAACTATGCATCTAAATAAACAGGAAAATTGAGTATGGATCAGTTTACCTTGGCACAGTATAGCATGAGTAAACTAAAATTTGGTTCAAATATTGCAGATGGAGCCAAAACCTTTAACGGATTTTGCAAGCAATCCTCTATCAGCTTATATAAGGGTTTCATTACAGTTTGTATTGCCAAAAAGTGAAGTGTAACTTGTCTGTTTGACGAAATTTCCCTTGATAATAGTTTATTCATTGTTAGCTGAGACTGGGAAAACAGGGTGGTGGTCTCTGATACACTGACAGAGACTCTCAGAAGTCCCTAACTTATTTACAGAAATCATCGTTGACTCTATGGACACTTCTTAGGCTGTACTGATGTTCCTTCCAGTCTGGGGTTTGGATTTGCTACATAAAATTTATGTACAGTAAGTCAGTAGACCGTAGGAAATGCTGTATATACATGGCTCACCTCACCCGATATTCCGCTCCTGATAGCAAAACGAAGCACAAAGCCTTCACAGGCACCTCCCATCGAGTGCTAATGAATAGTTCCCAGAAATGTTGCTGGTTTCTTCTGTCAAACCCCTGATAACAGCCAGCTTGGTGCCAAGGCCAGTTCCTAACACCATCTTCCACAGCCAGCAGCTGAATACTCCCCAGTTCCTTGCACTGAACCTTCAGGGCCGTCACCACACATCATTTCCCACCTGCTCTACAGCTACTTTTTTTTCATGGAGCAGAAATATCTTGACATATCTCACGCTTGCCTTTACTCTCGTTGCCTGCACATGGAAAAGCTGGTCCTGCAGTGCCACTTACTGGACATTTGATGTTAATAAAAGCAATGTGCAGCAGTTCTTCATTTTTCTCAGTTGATTCCCAGTGCCAATTTGGAATGGTAAAAAACATAAAAAGCATTCATGTCCAATGTAAATATTATGAATACAGGAAAGCTTGAGGAAAGCAAATACAGTAAATCTTATTTCTTAGAGGAAGCAGTAACTGTAAAGGAACAGAAATCCTCCTTTGTGGTCAGCATAGGGAAGAATTTGCCCTGTAATAGTCCAGGAATTCTTCCAGGTGGAAACATGCAGATGGTTACATTCATCCCTAGTTCAACAAATGTAAAGGACTGAGTGTACATGCAGAGGTTTGCAGGAGGCTTATTAATACATTTCTCAGGAAATAAGGCAACTGAACTGAATGCTTCAACAGGAGGTAGGGCTTATTTGATTAATCCAGTCGTAGTCTCTAGGTTCATGCTTTCTGTATGTACCGTTAGTACTTGCACTGTAATTTAACCAGCAAGATGCTACACTCTGCATGAATCTGTAAGAAAACACACACTTGAGCTTACAAATGGGTCACTGACTAAGCTACATGGATTGATCGCATGGGACTGTCAGTGTAGGGGTCTTTTTGGGCGACCAGAACTTTTGAAGAACAAATCCGCAATATTCAGCTGCAGATCAGTATGGTCAAAATTACATTCTGGGGTCTGTTCCTCCTGAGCCTCCCAGGCAGAGAGCTGGCTGGAGACCATGGCAGCCCCTCCAGCCCACCCACCATCTGGTACACCAGATCTCACCAGAGAATGGAAACAGGATCAGGCCAAAACACACATCTGGATCTGCAAGCTGGCACAGCCTCCTGGATTCTGCATTTTTTAATACAGCCAAAAACATTTTAGCATGAAAATCAATGCAGATGAAGAAACACATGTGGCCAGAGGTTAGATATTCTTTGTGACTACTCATATTCACCCATTTGCCTTCCAGTTTTGTGGTTTATGAGCAATTGTTGTTGGTTGGTCAGAGCCATCTAAAGACTTTTCAGGATTCATGGCAAAAAATCAGATTTGTTTCTCAGCAATTGGAGGAATGACTAGTCAAGTGAAAGAGAAGTTACATAGCTGTTCAAAACCATCTGCACTGAATATAAAGCAAATGACTAATTCGAGGTTCCATGTAGCAACTCAAGAGAAAATATTTAGGTATTAATATATTTACATTAAAGAGTCTGCAAGCAGAGTTTCTATTGTAATGTCCAGAAAAGACCATGTGTAGTTTTAAAGCTGATTGAAAGTTGGTATCTTTGGCATATAAGAAAATTATTAGAGGCAGAAGACATTAGTCCTCAAAAGGTAAACCACAGTACCAGTTATAGCCAACAACAACTAACTCATTTCTATGCACAACATCCAGCTGTCTCCATTTTCTGAATGAGATGTCTTTCCTGCTCAGTCATTGCAATGTTTTTAGCAACAAGTGTTAGGGCTGGATATCATCAAAGATGTATTCAGTGTTGGATCTGTCAGTGGTCGTGGAGACTAGGGTCTGCTTGACAAGATTAAAAAGAACTGAAGACACTATTAGTAAAGTACATAAATTGTGAACAAATTTTGTTGTATAGGAAAAATGCAGTGCAAGGGTATCGGTGCCATTTTTTACTCCTCCATGACAGAACCTCACCTGGTATATTTGCACCTACAATTGTCATATATATATCTGTAAGGCCTAAATTGTGGAGCCACAAGGGAAACAGATAGGTGGACACTGAGATTTGATGTGTCTGAGTCAGAATGAAAGTTGAATCTTAACTTTTCATTGAAAATCATAAACTGAGTAGGCTAGTTAAGAGCTGAAAACAAACTCCAGCCTACACAATTATGGTTTTATGAAAAAAAAACAAAAAACAAAAAAATCCAGTTTTTCACAGAGATTGAGTTATAGCAGCAAAGATTTCACCGTTAAGTTTATCTCCACAAACACTTAATACCTGGGGAGAGTTCTGGCTTTTTAATATAAAATTCCCATTTAGCATCCCGCAACAAGCAGTGACAGGGAGATCAGAGCTTGCCAGCCATATTTAAAGAGTTTGAGTAGGATTGCTCTGCATGCAGAGCTGCCACCCCTTCAGGGGCGAGACCTGTAGACAGAGCAGCGTTGTTACAGAGGGAATTTTAACAGAAGACCTTGGAGGAACTGGCCTGGGTTACAGACAGTAGTTGCAATCGGCCTCTGTGTGTTGGCAAGTTATTCTGGTCCATCAAAGCAGTAAACTAGCACTGTTTGCAGGCTGTAAATGGGATGCAGTACGGCTGTATCTGAACACATTTTACCACATTCACAGCAGTCTCAGCATTGGTTATGGGATAAGACCAGCTCATGTGTTGCTGACTTGTAACACTATCGGACTTAAGCATTAATGTGCTGATTCTTGAGAGGTGTGTTAGGAATCTAGTTTGTACGTCTATCACCATGTTCATCAGGAGGTCAGGCTGGAGAAAGAACATAAACAGTGTAATTGAGTATCCCTACTATTTTTATTAACTATCAAATGATTGCACATCTAATGCCAAACAGAGAAGCTATTGGATGCTATAAAGATAGATATTAGGATGTTAGGCTAGATATTATGAAGCATTTCTTTACAGAAGGAGTTGTTGGGCGTTGGAATGGGCTGCCCAGGGCAGTGGTGGAGTCCCCATCCCTGGAGGGGTTTAAGTCAGGTCGACACAGCACTGAGGGATCTGGGGGAGTTGGGAACTGTCAGTGTTAGGTCAGTGGTTGGACGGGATCATCTTCAAGGTCTTTTCCAGCCTAGATGATTCTGTGATTCTGTAAAGATAAAATGTGGATTGACCAAAGTTACGAAAAGGAAATAAATGCTCTGAAATCCATTCTCGGCCTTCCAACAAAATCAAGAACCTGTGTTTATTTAACCTTTTTTAAGGCACCTTACACAAGAAAATTCTCATCAGCTAGAATGGATTTAATCTGGAGTGCATTGTTTTACTATTTTTTATTCTTAAGGTTAGGGCCTAAGAATATTTTCCTAAGGGTTCTTTCACTGTGGTTTCCTATGAACATTTCCTCACTGCTGGCTGTTTTCTGCCGTACATTTACTTTAATAAAGCGGGAGTGATGAAATGAGAAAGGCAGGAGAAACCCATTCTCGCCGTCCCCGGGTGCCTTAGGGCCACCGGCCGCCCTCCTCCGGCAGCCGCTCTCGCTGGTGGCCGAGGATCCGTCTGTCCCCCACCTGGGCATCGCTGTCCCGCCACGGAGGTGGCCGGTAACACCCCCGATAACTCCCCCGACAGCTTTTCTCTCGCTAACAGTAGTCTCAGGGCCTGAGCTGCCCCCACAGTGCGAAGGGCGCTCAGCGGCGGCACCGAG